CAGCCACCACCGCCGCCCGAGGCCACACACACACGCAGCCTCCCAAACGTCAGACTGGAAAAGCAGCTTGTCCCGTCCCCGGGCACTCCCCACGGGCTGGGAGATGGAGCCTCGGGCATCTCCACAGGCGCTGGGAGCCCACGAGATGCTCAGACCGGCCCCGAATGGCCACGGCGACCCTGGCAACAACCCTGACCCTGTGGCTGAGTGGGCGATGCTTCAGCCACGACACACATTCCGAGATGCCCAGGGGCACAGACGCGGGCCCGGCCCGGCCCGGCAGAGGCGACATCCACGGCCGGGGTGCCTGAGCCCGCGAAGTGGGAGAGCTGCCCTTGGTGGGGTCAGCAGCGAGAGAATGTTCCAGAAGGTGGGCGAGGAGGTGTGGCTTCCCACTGTAGCTCCATGAGGCACACCTGGCTAGGGAGAAGTGTGAAGGACGGGTCGCAGGCGGCCGGGGGGGGGGGAGTTTAGGAATAAGCGCTGACACCTGGCTGGGCACCAGCACCACAGCATTTAATTGATTCTCATTTCAGCTTTCCTCACGCTGTCCCGGCTCCCCTGCTTGCCTCAGTTAGAATACAGGCCTCTGGCCTGCAGCGGCCTTTTCCCCTGCACGCCAGTCTTGGGGCCTTACCACTCTGCTCAAGAGAAGCCTCCCCCACAGAGCTGGGTCTGGGGGACCTCGCCGGCACGCCCTGTGCCCCCGGCTGCCCTGCGCATCCTCGGCTGCATCGCCCCGCACCTGGCCTTGATTTGCTTGATTAGAGAACTGGCCCCCTCCTGGGCGATCGCTGCTCCGCGGGGAGGGGCCCCCATCAGGGTTCTGGTTGTGTCTAAGGACTCCCCAGGCCCCGTCAGCAGGCAGCGTCAGCCTGGCCACTGGTCTGGACTGCCTGGTACACGCTGAGGAGGGAGGAGACGGTGCCCAGGAGGCCCACCAGCCACGGCGGGAAGCGGCCGGCCCACAGGATACCCGGGGGCAGCCAGTGCACCGCGTTGGCCAGGTCAGCCAGGTTGCTCAGAAGGGCCAGCGCCTCCGACCGGATCTGGGCCTCCACGGTCCTCCGCTTGCCCCGAGGCCGCTGGCTGCGGGAGCAAAGAGGGGGGCTCAGGGAAGGCCGGGAGGCGCCCAAGCCCAGCCGCAGGGGCAGGGTTGAGGAGTGCCGGGAGTCGGGAGAGCTGGTGGGGTCTCTCAGGGGGACCGTGTCGTGGTCACACCCGCCAGAGGGAGCCCACGGCGTGAACGGAACACAGCCCGGCGTGGGGTCTCAGGTCCACACCTCCGTCCTCCCAAACCTCCGGAGTTGGGCAGGGAGGTGGGCAGGTTCTGGGCCTACGCCGGGCTGGGCCCTACCCCGTGTTCCTTCCTGACCCTGGTCCCCAGGAAACTGGCTCCATCCCCCATCTTCCTCCCTGAAGGGGGGTGGCCGGGAAGGCTCAGCCCTGGAGACCTGGCTCTGCCATCTCCTGTCTACGGGGCTTCAAGTAAGCCTCAGTTTCCCCAGCTGTGAAAGTGCCACCATCCACCTGGAGGCTGCAGGGAGGCCCCGTGACCTGGCCCACATCACACCCCAGCACAGGACCTGCGCAGGGCAGGGCTGACCACTGGTGACTGAGCACCTCCCTGGCTGGGGAAAGCCAGGGGGGACCCCAGACTGCGGGAGGAAGTCAGCCTTTCTCATGGGCGAAACCCCGAGCATCGTACCTGGTGAAGGCCGCCGGGGGGCTCCTCAGCCTCTGTCTCAGCTTCAGGACTATCCACAAGGACCTGCAACACCACAGAGGCTGGGGCAGGAGCAGCAGGGGAGGCTCGTCCCTAACGCAGACCCCCACCTGCCCACGTGGTAGGTTCAGGAGTGTCCAGTGCTTCTGACACGGCCAACCGGGCCCCAGCCCACCTCTGCGAACTACTGGCCCGGGACCACGGCTCAAAGGAACATCGTGCCACACGGGGTGTCTACGGCCCCGCTGGGAGGCCGCCCCTCTAGATGAGGCTGATTCCCCTCCCTGCGCCCTGGCTGGCTCACCTGGTAAATGTGGGCCAGAGGAGCACCATGGCTGTCCCCTCCCCCTGACACAACGACCTGTCTGAGGTGAGTCTGAACAACCTTCTGGACCCTGAGGGCTGGTGTGTGAGAATGAGGAAGCGGCCGCCAGGCGGGCATCCTCCAGTGCTCCCTGGGGACTCCGGCCCTGCACGATGTCCACCCAGGCTGCTCCGCCCCGCCCTTGCACCCTGCACCCTGGGCTGTGGGGAGTGTCGGTGAGGGAACATGCCCAGTCCTGCCCAGTAGAGGGCTGACCGCAGCCAGACTTCCCGACTGGGAGGTCCAGGACTTGGTCCCATCTCCCCAGCCACTGTGTACCCATCCAGGTGACATGTCCTGAGGGTAGGGGACACAGGGCAGCACCACTTGGGGAACTTAGAGCAAAATGCTGACTCCCAGGCCCCCAGAATCAGAATCTCTGGGTGCCTGAGCCTGGTATCTGCCTGTCAACACCCTCCCAGGTGACTGACTGTCTAGCACCCTGGGGTCTTAAGGACCCCTGGTCGTTGGTGAGTACACACCAAATGCTCCCCAACCCCCACACCCGTGGCCATGCCACACACAGAGAAATGATGGGAAAACTAGATGCTCTAAAAATGAACGGAAGAATAGAGCACAGAGGATTTCAGGGTGGTGAAAATACTGTGTGTGGCACTTGTCCGGTGGGTATGTGTCATTATACACTTGTCCAAACCCAGAGAATGTACAACACCAAGACTGAACTCGAACGTCAGCCACAGACCTGGGCTGATTATGCTGTAATAAATGTAGCCCTCTGGTGCCGGGTTGACAGCGGGGGAGGCTGTGCAGGGCTGGGGGGTACGTGGGAACTCTTACTTTCCACTCAGTTTTGCTGGGAACCTAAAATTGCTCTAGAAAAACAAAGTCCATTTGAGAAAAAAATGAATGGAACCAAGGCTGCCCCTAAAGCAGGAACGGGAAGTCTCTCGGAGCCGAGGGCACAAGGCACACGGAGGAGAGGCCCTGAGCCGGGGCCCCCAGGGAGCTGAGCCCCAGGGCGTCCAGAGCACGGCCCACGGACCACCGGAGGCCCCGAGCATGCACATGGCCTCTGTGACTGCGAGGGGAGCGGGTCTCAAGGGGGAGCCATGTCAGGGAAGCAAGGAGAGCAGAGATAAGTAAAAATTAGTCGGCAGATTGTGAGCTCAAAGGCTTGGAGGAATCACTGAAGTGTAAAGAGTGGGCAGCTCTGGGTTGGATGGCGGGGTGAGCTGAACAAAACCCAAAGTGAAAGATTCATTGTCATTCAAGTGACAGCAGACACGGGCACTGCCGAGCCCTCCACGGTCCGAGGCCGCCCCTCTTCCCCTCAGGGATATAAGAGAACTTGACTGCCCTGAACTCGGGCCCTGGAGGCCCTGCTTCGCCTCTGCTTTATGGGGCAGGAGACTCTGAACAAAGCCACCCAGAAAATCTGTAGAGGGGAAGATGCTTGGGAGGAAACCATTATTATTAGAAACCTTATGGGGTTTTTGGAAACACAGAGCCAGTTTAGAAACTCCTGGCTGTTTTATCTGAGGTTTGCTGATGACAACGCAAGCAGGACTTGGGGACCCGGGTGAAGGCAGCTACGTGAGCTACTTCTGTCCAGGCTCCAGAGTTCTTCTTTTTCCTGGGTCCTGTGGGCACAGTCACGCCCCGGCCCCCAAAAGATGTATGGACTTCCTAGTCCCTGGCACCAGTGATCTGTTCCCTGGCACAGCAAAAAGGACTTTGCAGATGGGACTGAGCTCAGGGGCTGGAGATGGGAGAGGATAACGGAGGGGCCCAACCCAATGTCACCTCAAGGGTCCTCATAAAAGGGAGGCAGGAGGCTCAGAGTCAGAGATGTGGCAACAGAAGCAGAGGCTGCACCAGAAACTGACACAACATTGTAAACTGACTATACTACAATTAAAAGAAAAAAGATTTTTTTAAAGTAAAAAAAAAAAAGAAAGAAATAAGAAGCAGCAGAGGCTGGAGCAGTGAACTTCAAGGATGGAGGAAGGGGCCACCAGCCGAGCAATGCGGGCTGCCTCTAGGAGCTGGAAAAGGCCAGGGACAGAGGTCCCCGGGAACCTCCAGAAGGAACACAGCCCTGCCGACACCTTGATTTTTAGCCCAGCGAGACCCATGTAGGACTTCTGACCTCCAGAACTGTCAGGATGATGTTTGTGTTGCTTAAAGCCACCAAGTTTGTGGTAATCTGTTGCAGCAGCAACAGGGGACAGATACAGCGAGGTGGTGACAGAAAGAGGAGAGGCAGGGGAGGAGAGACCTCTGCGCCTCCAGCCTGTCTGTCGGGCCGCCCGGGGGCCTGCCTGCAGGTGGCGACACCACTTACCTAGCAATCCCCAGGATCAGGGAGAGGCCCCAGAAGGCTGTGCTCAGTGTCCACCACCGGGCAGAGTCCACGTGGAGGATTTTGGCATCAGAAGCCCAGGCGATGTGCTCACAGGGGTAGTAGAGCTGGTCAGCCAGGTTGCCCAGGACAGACACACAGCGCACAAAGATGTCCTCTTCCTGCAGGACCGGGAGGAGGAAGGGGTGGGGGGGGTGGGCCTGGGGTCAGACCTACCCACTGCCCATTTTAGGGGCCCAGGCCATGTCAGGTGGCAGTCACAGGGCACTGTCCAAGCCTGGCAGGCTGGCCCATGGCTGGCCCTGCAGGAGAAGGCTCGATTTCTGCCTCCCAGCCGTATGGTCAACACTGCCCAGTGGAGCAGTGGGTCTCAATTCAGCCACACAGTGGAATCCCTGGGGGGCTTCAAAAATCCCACACCCAGCCCCCACAGAATTTTTTTTAAGTTCCCAGATGATTCCCACATAGGACAACTTGGGATGCCCTGCATCAGAGCCTTCCTACCCCGAAGGCTGCCAGTTCTTGTTCTTGTTCTGGCCGAGGGATATCCCAGATGCAGAGGGCCCTCCACCCACTGCCCAGAGACTCAGGGGAGCCCTCACAGAGGAGGTGGGGGGCAGTCCTCCGGGGATTCACCACAAGCACACTCTAATGAAAGAGGAGGCTGGAGAGACGGGCGTCAAAACAGGAGGAAGGTCCAGGGAAACACATGAGACTTGGGATGATCAGGCCACAGGCTCTGGGGCTGGATAGGGGAGCATCTGAGCAAGGGGCTCAGAGAGGAGACCCAGGAGAGCAGGGGGAACAGGCAGGGCAGCCCAGGAAGGGGCATGACTTGGCCAGGCTGGCCCTGGGCAGCTCCTCAGCCCACCCCCTGGGGGGGGACAAGCTCGTCCCCAGGGGAGGAGCGCTGCTCTAGACCTACCAGAACTCCTGTGGAAGGATGTGGTGCAGTTGTAACAGCAAAATATTATAATCTCCCAAGTCAACAGGGAGCAGTTAAATACATCACCATCCGGCCATACGGCAGAGTACTATGTGGTCATAAAGAAGAAAGAAGCTCCTTTTGGACTGATATGGGATGATCTCCAAGTCGTAGTGTTAAGTGAAAAAAGCGAGCGGCAGAACAGTGTAAATGACACAACTATTTATGTAAACAATGTGTATTTGCCCGTGAAGTTACAGATCTCATGAAAAAAACATGGGAAGCTGACAACAGTGGCTGCCTCTGAGGAGGAAAACTGAGGGCCAGGGGATCAGGAAAGAGAGACAGTTTTTAAGTACACAGTTTTTTGGAATGTGCAAACCTACTAGCTATATTTTTTAATTTAAATTGAAATGAGAACATTTGATCGTCTCAAAAAACAAGTGAAACTGAAAACAATAAAAAACCGCCCATGCAGTTGCTTTTATAAAGACAAGTCCATAAGGCGCTGGCTTCCCGGGGTCCGCACCCTCTCCCTACAGCCCCACGCACCCCATTACCTCTGCCCCCAGGCCGTACTGCTTAGTGTAGACAAACATGGCCGCATCATCAAAGAGTCGCAGGATGGTCCTGCAATGGCTGAATTGGGAAGACAGTGCCAGCAGGCGCGTCCCCACTTCTGACCTGGCAGATTGTTCCACCAGGACCCCGCCCACCAGCTGGCAGCAGTACCCCAGCGTTCGGATCTGTGGGAAACCAGAGGCAGTCAGTGTAGCCCTGATCACCCCTGACCTGGCCATGGGCCCCAGTGGGATCGAGTAGGAGGAAGAGTCTAAATCAACAAACTTCCAGTAAAAGCCAAAAGTTTCAAAAGATATTCGTAGGTGGGACAAGTGGAGAAACATACCATTGTCCAAAAGGCATTGCGGAGACTAATGGGAGTGCTGGCTCATATCACCAAGGGGCACAGACTTTGGAGACCAAGGTAACGGGGACAAGAAAAAGAAAACCTCATTTGCCACCTCTTGGATCCTTTTCCCAGCAGTCAGGAGGACTAGGTGGAAATGTATATCTGCATCTATCTGGCTGGACCAAAGCCCGTGGCTGAGCTGGGGGGTGGGGAAGTGAGTGGGCATCAACTGAGTGGACAAAAGGATAATCTGCTTGTATTACTTTTGTGAGAAGGAACTCACCACTCACTGGGGGGTTTGGGGGCACTGTGAACTACGTTTCTTTATTTCATCTGCTTTTCAGAAGTTGCTCTTCCCTGTTGTTTTATATATTATTTTTACTTGTAATTGCTTTCCAGCGCCTTTGTAGTAGCAAAATGCTGCAATTTAAATGTCCAGTTTGGGGGGATTTGTTAAAACCTGAATGCCCAATCACAGGGGATTTGGTTGGATCTAAATGCCCAGCCACTGATACGTTCCCTGATACAGCCTGAATGCCTACCTGTAAGAGACCGATTGGGACAAGCCCACAGTCTGACCTCAGAAGCCTGGAAGGAATAACCTAAATGCCCAGCCAGTGGAGATGGTGGTCAGAACCTAAACATCCAGCTGTAGGGGAAGCCCTGCAAAATCTTAAATCCCCATATGAGACTGTTTCAGATAACCCAGGGACTAACTACAGAGGCCCAGTCAGATCTTAAATATCCAACCATGAAGTTGTTTGGCATGGAAATGTCCATCCAGGTTGAAGTGGCCAGAACAACCTAAGTGCCCAGTTTGGTCAGAACCCAAATGTCCAGCCATAGGGGGAGCCCTGCAGCACCCTAAATCCTCCCATGACATTGTTTGGAACTCCCAACGGCCAATTTCAGTGATCCAGTCGGATCCCAAATGTGCAAACGTGAGGATTTGGTTGCACGGTAAACGTTCAGTCGCACTGGGTTGGCCGGAACAATCTGAATGTCCACCGCTCGGGGACAGGGTTGGAGCCCAGCTCGGTCAGGGCCTCTGCCAGGGGGGCTCCTGAGTGACCCCGCTCCCTCTCTGGCCTCAGTTTCCAGGTCTCTGAGCTCCGGCCCGACTCCGGGACCTCTGGCCGCGCTGCACCCAAGCCTCACCAGGCGGTCCCGGCCCCTGTACGACTCCAGCGCCGACGCCAGACCACTCAGAGC